GTGTGTGTGTGTGTGCGCTTTGGCAAAAACCAAAATGTCTGGTCTGTTCAGCGCCCTGAAAGGCAGCGTTTGCGATTAATCGCTCTTTAAGGCTCAACTGAAATGAGTGCAGGATTTATGCAGGAGTCTCCTTCCTAGGCACTGGTGCATTGGTCTGTGACTGTACTAATTATCCATGGACTAAGGACAAAGTGAGAGAGATAGGGTGTGTGTGATGGCACTGTGGGGAGGTGGGGGTACAGAAGTATAAGAGAAAGTTGTTGCATCTACTTTACAGTAACAGACTCCCGTTCGATCTTGTGATAATTAGTCTGAGTTTAGAAGGTGAGGACAGAGTCAAACATAATCAGACAAACCTGTCCTCAGGTAATTATGCAGCCCATCGATATCCAATAACCAATTCATATGGGCCCCTCAAGTTTATTGTGTCACTGCTCGAGTTTTACAGCTATTAATCTGCAGTAGCAATACTGTAGACAGTTCATTGACTTAAAAATGCTGAAGTTGATGTTTTTTTATTAAATTTTGAGAAATAAATTGAAATATCACACACCATATTTCAATGTAACTGCAAAAATTCTAATTACGGCTGAACTATTACTTTGTCACTCTCCATTCAGATCAAAGCTATGAAGCTTTACAAGGGTTTCACCTCGTCTACTCGTTAGTACAGCCACCAGTGGGACAGGCTCTGCGTTATAATAAGTGGTTTCAGTAAGCTCACACAACATTTACAGACTGTAATACTGGAGCCATGAATGAGTTGGGTTACTACATGAATGCCAAATCGAAGGCAACCAGCCAGCCCAAATAAACACAGCAAGCAATTAAACACCTTTGAGTTTTAATTATGGTTTTAAGCCTGTGCAATATGTGCTCTGAAAGTAAGATGTGGATTTGCTGTTTTTGCAGGTGAACCATTGGCTGGTAGGACCATTGCCGGAATTCCTAGAGGGTACTGGAGCTTTTCCTGGGTAGCCGAGGACGACCTGAGCTTTCCCAGCGACTCCATGCCCGCATCAGGTGAGTTAGACATTGCCAGCCCTCCTCAGACAGACTAAGGCGCTTCTGTCCTCAAAAGATCCTTTGCTCCCAATTGGCCATGACACCTGGCATCAGCTCTCCATCAGCACACATAAACGTCTCTGTCTCTGCCCTCTAGCACTGGCATCGTCACAAAGCTGGGTGTCTGTTGATCAGCCTGTCCGTGACCCACTCAAGGACCCAGATAAATTCTTCTAGTATCCAAAGACACCTGGAACAATCCACAGTGCTTATTGAATTAGTTAGTATTAGTCTCTGTGGGAAGCCGATCTTGTTAGAGTGCACGTAATAAAATACAAGAGATAAAATAAAACTAAACAATAGTAAAATAAACAATAGTACCACAACTAGAACGATAATGACGTGGAGAACGATATCGTTGGGATCACTTTCAGAGTGCTTTGATGAATGGCCTTTAGCACTGATGGGATCTCCCCTAACAGTATTGAAATTGTGAAATTTTTTTTAATTAGCTTTTTTCTCCGACTGTATCACATCTTGTCTCCCCTGTGTCACACAGGCTGTGTGTGTATCTCACTCACTCGAGTTGCAGGTCACAGTTTTGATTGGCTGAGTAGCATCATGTGAGAGGATTCTGGGCAGCTAAAACAGTAAAAAGTAGTAAAGCTGTTCCGTTTAAAATAGACTCTGCATGCTACAATGACTTATCAGCGGTGCTCAACCTTTCCGTTATTTGTTTTATTGTGTTTTTTACACAAATACCGTAATTTTTTGTATAGAATCTATATGGTACAATAAATGTCTTATCACAATATCCAGTATGTAACAGTGCTAGAGTTGTTGGAAAGCATATTTACCGCAGTCACTAAAATATTATCATTATTGGTATGCAGTACAATACGGACGAAAAGAACACAGGATCAGAAAGTTCATACAATGTTTTGCCATTTCATACAAAATGGTTATTATTTTTAACAAAACTGAAATAAAATGTGATGGTAAAAAAATAGAAGAAATTTACAACAAAATCAACCAGAAGTTTTTGAAGAGGACTATATTTTGATTAACTATAATGAATGTCCATAATTAAGTTTTGTTAAAAAATAAATTCTTTTAAAGATGGCATTAAAATTGTGGCAACGTTTGGTTCCTTCATTTTTTCCCCTCTTGAATCATATCTAATAATCCAGGCAATTTTTAAAGTGTTAACTTTATTTGAAATTACAAAAAACAAGGTTTTAGAAAATACATTAATTGTCTATAACTACAGTACAGTAAGGTGTGGAATGCAGTTCCCTATAGAGCATATCATGAATTTACTGTTATTTAAAATGACAAAATTCAGGGATTATTTCCTTTCAATATGGATCCTAAATTAAAGATTACGACATCTAGGGATTTTTCCCCTGATGTGCATCATACACACTTTTAACGCGTAATCGTAAGTTGAACAGCAACATTCATGCTAAGTACAGCTGTACGTATCTGGTGCAGCCATATGTCACATTTACAATATATCACAACCACTTAACTGCAGTTAGTAAAACAAATAGTTTGTAACTCCTCTTGCTCAGCTTCTAAAAGGATACTATATATAATAGTCTTTAATAATTGGAGCTGCAGCTGCCTGTATTACCAAAGCACATTAAGTGTACAGAAAATTTACAAAATATTAGTGATAGTTAGAAACTTTGAAATGGGGGATTCTGCCATTCACCATTTTATACATTTTATTCTCTGGGCTTCTGTAATTACGGAATTAGTGCATGCGTCTTCCTAATTTAGGTATAATGTTGACAGATGAATACACTTGTAGAAATGTTCTGTATACAGCTGTTTGTAGAGTACTGATTTTCAGTAATGGCTCAAGCTAGAATGACTGAGTCAGAACTGACATTAGAAGAAAACAAGTGTGATACACAGGAACAGGAGGCTGCAGCCTGATGTTACAGCCCTGTGTGTGAGCATCTGCATAAGTAAGCCCAGAAGCACTTTTGTGCATCCGCGTCACGTCAGACACTCAAAGCCCATTCACATCACTTGGTGGCGACAGCTCCAGCGTGATTTTCTTGCCCCTTTCCAACCTCTTGGAGGGTGGCAGGTCATCCTGTAAGTGATGATTCAAAGTCCCACCAGCACCAAACTGTCACCTAACTGTTTATGAAACACATCCTTGACTGTGAAACCCTGGGACCTTGCTTTAGCTGCCTGTGGCTGTCACAGCCTGCAGTGGACCCAACTGTAATTGGTGTCAGTTAGACAACGGATCACCCCACAGTTTTTTAATCAATCAATCCGTCATGCCCACAGCACACTGCATATTCGATTGTCATACAATGCCAGTGCTGACCTCTCATCTCTAGTATGTTAGCAAACCAGAACAGGAGATGTTTTCACTGTATAGTGATTAGTGAGCCGAGCGTGATCAGCCAGTGTGATGGGGCTGGAGCAGGAAGGATCACATCTGCCCAGTAAAAGCCAGATGACTACAAAATGCTCCAAATGAATAATTGTTCACAGTTGAGTGAAACAAATCAAATTGTGATTACCACAAATGTTTTGACAAAGTGTTGATTAAACATACAATATCATATCTAATATATTTTACAAATTTGTATGCATCTTATTGTATTGTATTCTCCTCTGATGATAACTGATTATATATTATTTTATAGATATATATATTTGCCTTTTATTTATATAGATCGAGTTTCACAAGCCAAGATAATTAAAATCCCTTATGAGTTTTTGATGTTTCCTACTTCTTGAAGGGGCTTTTGAAGGTTAGGTGGCATTGAATTGTGTTACATAGGACATCTTTAGAGGATGCTGAGAAAAAAGGTTTGGGAGAGGACAGGTCTGAACACATGGCATGGTGAACATGGCTTTAGGCTGCAGTGATACATCTCAGCTTTCCCTGCAGCATCTGCTGTACGCTGGCATTTATTACCTACCTCAAAAGCCAACACAGACCGACTGGACACTCGCCACCAGCTGCCCTCATACTCTCCCTCCCTCCTTCCTCCCTCCTGCCTTCATGCTTCCATTAGCATTAGCCTTTAGCTGCAGGGGCTACAGGCTAAGCCAACTCCCTTATTTGCCTTTCAGTGCTGGTAAGCTGACTTCGTTGCCACTTTGTGTCAGTGGTGTCGGAGCCCTCTGATCTGATCTCTCTACTGCCTCCCATCTACAGTGTGTCATCTTCCCTTGGGGAACAGCAGCAGGGCAGCCTGTTGCCATATTCTTTTTAGAAAAACCCTTCCCATACGCCATTTTTCTCACTCTAGACCTATTCTCTTCATCGAGATGGATTGTCCGGTTTCAGCTGTGGCTGCCAGCTGTAACAGAGGCACTCAGATGGATGCTAGCCACTTGAGGAGTTGCCGTGCTCTACAATAGAACATCTGCCTCACTCAGCTGGTAGTGCTGTTCTTGTGTAATGAGACACAGCAGTGGAATAAAACACATTTGCAAAGGCGGGGGGGTATAAAAGAGAGAGCAGTGGTGCAGGTGCTTAAATATGGCTTCCTCCTGGAGTATAGCATCATTTAGCCCTTCCAACCATCCTCATGTTGTAGAGGATAGCTTGAATCAAGCTCCCCTGAGCAATTATTTGCCTGTGTGACTGGTTTAAACAAATAAACAAAAATGTAGATTTTTAAGTTGTTTTTAATATGTTGCAATATTCATATACAGGGTGTCAAAGAACACACATTTTAGGATGATGCAAAAGCCGTTGTTTATTGTAACACTGAGTATAACAGAAAAGACAGCAAATCTTTAACACCAATTCTCAGTATCTCTAACAAACACTAAGGTGTCATTAATATCATGGCATTAGTCTTACACCTTGAATTTACCAATCAGGAGTAAACTGGAGATTTTGTTTGATAGCTACTTTAAATGTATCAGGATTGAAATAGAAATGACAAAATAATTAAATCAATGGAAACATCTGCTCGGTATGGCTTGAATCTGGCTTTAAGATGCACAGTTGTTAATGTGAATAAAATAATCAGAGAAACATTTTATTTTAAAATACAGAACACCCCCATGTGTGAGTTTCATGGGTAGCAGCCGATTGCTGCCGCAGGTGCTTTTCTAGTTGTTCATTTGTTAAGAATCTCTGGATCGTGGGACCATTTTGAAAACGAAGTGAAATTCATTTGGCCAAATTAACAGAATTTGCTGACAATAATTGTCTTCTGTTGCTTAATGGGTCAGAGTTGTTATTGACTCGAACAATGGGAAACTGTTTTAGTGATTTGGAAAATGTAAGGCAAAAAGATTTTTAATGTTTTTGGTTTTGTCAGTACTTTCTTCAATATCTTCAAGGCTTTAGAAGGTCTGTTGTGAAGAATTTCTCTTGACCTCCTGCCAGCATGCCGCCTTTGTAGTTTTGAAGAGTGGATGCTATGGATGAGCTGAAGGAGTTCACAAGGAATGGGAAGCCTGGCATTTGACTTTGATCCCTTCTGATCTAGAATCAGAAGCTGTCACGTGCAGTTGATGAAAAAAATGTTGATGAGCCAACTGTTCTATCTACCTCAAAACTTGTAGACCTTCTTTTTGCATCCTGTTGATCATGTTCAAACCCTCATTTTAAAACCAGGGAAGAGAAAACCAATTGAATTGCTTTTCAAAAGGGGAGCACAACTGATTTATATCAACTAATTTTGGGTGAAGAAAAACAAGGAACAAAATAAGCATATCCTTTATTAATTTGTTTCCCAAATAATTTCTTTATACCTCATACGTGTCGTTTGTCAAAAATCACTTGCCACTCATTTATCTGTATGTATTTGACAGGACAGCTCCAGCTTCCATAAGGGGAAATGAATTTGCCTGGAAAACTTAGGCCATAAAAAGTATAATGGATACATAAATAAGCACAGTCAGACATAATCTCATTGTAATCAGGAAAGAAACATATTCATCATCTCAGTTAAAGGGTTTCGTGGGGAAATTTGTCAGCAATATTTTTACTTTCAATCCACAAAGAGACATACATTGTTGTA